ATGCTTTGTGTTTGCTTAAGATATACTTTCTATAATGCTTTAAAGTTCAATATACACCCTAAGAGCTATATCCTTATTTGTTACTGTCCAATCTTTTCTGCACTACTTATGATTTATTAAATTTCTTATTATTAGAATGTACCCTACATGTATCATTCCATCTTTTTGAGTTTTTGCTTGTTTTTTGAGACAAAGTCTCTCTCTTTTTTTTTTTCCTCCGGTACAGGGAACCGAACTCACAACCTTACGCTTGCCAAGGCAGGCGTTATGCCGCTGAGCTAAATCCCCAGCCCCTGAGTTTTTGCTTTGTGAAGGTTTTTGTTGTGGTACCAAGTGCAGAGATATTCTTCACTATTCTATCTTTCACAACATTGTGGCTTTTATCATTAATATGTTTCCTTCTTTCCCAGCACAGTGGCACTCTTGTAGCCACAATACTCAGGACGTTAAAGGAGGAGGATCATGAGTTCAAGACTAGCCTGGGCTGTGCTTTATAGTGAGACTTGTCTCAAATAAACGAACAAACAACAACAAAACAAAAACAAGAAACTTTTTTTTTCATTCTTAATGCTTTGAGGGTTTCTTTTGTATACAGAATACAGTTGGGTCTTGCCTTGTAAGCCAAATTAAAAATTTGTTGTTAATAGTGTGTTTTGAATATTTAATTTTATTACCATTAATGTTATGTTTGATTTCAATTGTCATAACAGGAATTAGTAAGACAAGAGTTAAGATTCTATTAGTCAGTAAGGACAGCAGCCCCAAAATGGAACCAAGAAGCCCAAAATAGAGTCCTGTACATTATAGCACTACAGGGATCTTATAAAGACATCTACCAGGTGTCCTCGGGCTGTCTGCAGCCTCCCCGGAGCACAGTCAGCCAGACCAGTGGCTCAAGGGCACCTGGGCCTGCGTGGACACTACATGAATTGAACCCCCCCCAATGCATAGTGCTCTACAGGGTACAGACTATATGTTTACACAATGGCCCAAGTGCCCTTCTAAATCACTTAAAAACTCCTAAAGAAAGAGCCCTTCTTGGGTATCTTACTTAGGACCCCCTCCTGGTGAGTGGGAGCTTTACTTCCTTGCTCTTCTCTTTTACTTTCTTGTGTTTATATCTTTTATTTTCTTGCCTTGATATCTTTTGAATAAATTTACTTGCACCCTACCTCCTCTATCCTGTGGTTTCATTCTTGGGACACAACCCTAGTAATCTGATAATAATATCATATCATTTCATGGCATAACATTAATTACATTATGCTGTGTTTTATTTTCCTTGTCCTGTGAAGAGTTTTGGATCTTTTATTAATTACAGTTCTTTTGGTATTTAGGAAGGTTTGTTTTTCTGTACTAGTGGTTAACGTTGCATTCCTATCATGTTTAATTAGATTAGATCAATTTTTTCTTATTAACTCTTCCTTTCCAGTTTGAAAGTTTTAAAAAATGGTTTTACTAATTTAAACCTTTTTAAAAATAAAGCAATCAGTTCTATACTTATTCTGGTTACTACTGCAAGGTACATTTTAAATAGCTTAAATATGTTGGATTGAAGATATTGAATTTTTTTTTTCCCTCTTTTTTTTTATCCAGTACCGGCAATTGAACTCATGAACCTGCGCTTGCCAGGCAGGCGCTGTGCTGCTGAGCTAAATTCCCCGTCCCTGAAGATATTTAATTTCATTTGAAGTGTTTTATTGTCATTTGTTTCTGTTCATTCATTTTATTGGTAGAAATTTTCATCAAACATCCTCCTCAGATTTTCATATTCAAATTTTTAAATGGCAGCTTGGGATAGATGAAAATTGGTTGCATCTCTGAATTTCTTTGAAAATGGCTCACAGTTTATAGGTATTTTTCAACATTTCAAGCTCAAATATACTCATAAGTGAAATTAATCAGACTCACATATGTAAACATATTGTCTCTCTAGTGTGAGAAGCTGAAAGAATAAATAAGATCTAAAATGTACAATAGGTATTGTGAAATGGGAAGAAACTATTCAAAAGGAAAGAGAAACTGAAATGGGAGAAAGGAGAAAAGAAGGAAGGGAAAAGGAGAAAATATATATATATATATATACAAGATAGGTAAGATAGGGGATGGGGATTTAGCTCAGCGGCAAAAGTGCCTGCCTGGCAAGTGCAAGGTCATGAGTTCGGTTCCCGGTACTGGAGGGGGAAAAAAAAAAAAAAGATAGGTAAGATAATTATATTACTAATTTCTCTTAGTTGTTTGAAAAGAAAGGTTTGTGCTAATATTGTTTGGACAATTTTTCATGGCTATATCTTGTACTCTGAGTAACTACTTTGAAGACAACAATATGCAACGTATTAACCATTGTTACTCTCCTATTATCCTGTTTTGAAATTTTGGGTTTTTTTTCTCTTTAAAATAACATTTTAAAAAAAGATTTCAAGCTCAAGAGGACCCTCTTCTTTCCATGTATCATAGTTCTGTTTCATTACTGGAGGGCTTAGCAATGATGGAGACATTAGGGAGAGAACTCATGGTCTTTACAGGTTGACATTTTTTCTCATAAAATGACACATTTTCTCCTCTTGTTTCTTCTTCCTTCCACTGTGCATTCTACTCAAGTTATTTCTCTTTCCCCTTGTCACCTTTTTCTACCTTTCGAAGCCTTCTGTCTTTTTATCTTTTTCTTCTTTTTTTCCTCATTACTATGAATTGAACCCAGGGCCTTTGCACTGAGTTACATCCCCAGCCCTTTTTATTTTAGGGTCTCTTGGAGGCTCTAAATTACCCAGTCTGAATCTGAACTTATCATCTTGCTGTGTCAGCATCCTAGAAACCTAAGATTACAGGCCTATACCTCCACATTTGGATCAAGACTGCCTTCTCATGCTTTATGCATATTCTTAAGTCCCTAAACAAAAGCCTGATCTTCAAGAGAAAATTTTCATACTTGGGATTGACTTTGTTTCTTGTAGGGACTTTAGATTTATCTGATGTTTCCTCCTAATAGCTTTCCTTTTGCCTCTGTCCTGCACTTTTTTGTGGACTATCCTTATTCTGCATAACAGCATACAGGGGAAACTTCAGTGATAGATCACGATGTCTTATTTGTTTGGGTACTTAAAGGTAATTTGGAATTTGAATGTTCTGCAGTCTTGGTGGTGGTATTGTGTGGTTTTATTTGTTGTTCTCTATGTCTTTTGCATGTGGGGGTGGAGGGTAGATGCTTTAGGCAATTTGGATTATTGTTAATGTCATCATTTGGCCTTCTTCATATTTTTTAAAGGGAGGAAGTGGTAAAATGAAACAGTCATCACAGGACAGAATATGCTTTCTAAATCCTAGGCTCACTTCATTTTTGTAACCTTTTCTTACTTAATTTTGGAGCTGTACAGTGAGAAAATTTTCACTGAGGAGGTAAAATACCCATACTCTGAGGTTAATGGATCATTGAAACTCAATAAAGATAGGAAAAGCATATCTTCTAAAAATATTTTATAAAACAACTTTTTTTTTTGGTTTTGGTTTTTCTCCAGTACCGGGAACCGAACTCGCGACCTTGCGCTTGCCAGGCAGGCGCTTTGCCGCTGAGCTAAATCCCCAGCCCCTAAAACAACTGTTAAGGTAACATGTTGCCACAGTATACTCTGTACATTCAGGTGACTAATTAATTTTTAAGTTTCATGAGAGAGTATTTTCTAAGCCTATTGAAGTTCTTTTAGAATTTAGAATCTGTGTATACTTTCTGTAATATGCTTTACGGTATGATTGCATTATATCCTCCAGGGGACTGAAAGTCTATTTTATTCTTTTGTGAGATGAGTATACTAGCAATTAAATTCAAGCTGGGCTTTTCAACTTCCTAGAGAGATACTTGCAGAGAGCTGAGCACAGACAAAGGCAGCAGTAAGGACTCTTGAGTCTGGAGGTTCTAGACCAGTCTGACAAACATAGCAAGACACTGTCTCAAAAAAAAAAAAATAAAATAAAAAAAAATAAAAAAAGGATACTTGTAGAATTGTATGCTATTTTGATTGTTTATCATAATTGTTAGCCAAAAATAAAACTTAGGTTAAAATGATTAGAAGAGATAGAAAATCAAATGAAAGATTTGAAACTTAAAATTAATGTAGTGAAATATTTAATGGCTGAACTTTTATTAAATGATGATGTAAACCTGCACTTATGTACTTAGTAATTAATTTTGTTATACCTTGTCTCCATGTAAAAATATCAATTTTGGACTGCATGAAGAAGATTAGCTATTACTGAATACTTATTTTGTGCCAGCTACTTAGTTTGTCAATACTAAAATGATTATTTAGGGCTGGGGTGTAGCTCAGTAGTAGAGTTTTTGCCTGTCATGCACGAGGCCCTAGTTTCCTCAGCAAAACTCCCTCCAACAGCCAAGGATTGCTTCAATGTATTTATTAAGGAAGATGAGCCAGGCATGGTGGTGCACATCTATAATCCCAACACTCGGGAGGCTGAGGCAGCAGGATCCTTGTGATTTGAGGCCAGCCTGAACTACATAGTGAAACTCTGTCTCAAAAACATCAAAAAAAGGACCAGGGATATAGTTCAGTGGCACAAGTGCCTGCCTGACAATTGCAAGGTCCTGAGTTTGATTCCTGGTACAAAAAAAAAAAAGACCAGTTTTCCTTTTTGGTATTAGAGATGGTTCATGTACTGCCCAGAATATGGACATGAGGAATATTTCTGTCATTGTCTCCTTCTTACAAAGAATAATTTCTTATACACAAATCATACTGAAGAATAAAGCATTTATATGTAATTTTAACATATTATAAAATCTCCATTTTCCTTTTTGAAAACTCTGCTCTGATCTATTTAATAAATCTAAAGACATACAACAAATTTGTTCTGTCACATAATTTGCTTTTTTCTTCATTTTCCAAATGCCATAGGTAAAATAATCAACTTTGTGAGTGCTTACTATGACACCTGGGACAGATTTACAGTATAATGTGAGACGGAAAAGCTGAAAGAATTGTACTTACCATAAAGAATTGCAAGCAGAGAAAGCGGCATGACAAGTAGTCCCACTAGCATATCAGCAATGGCTAGGGACATTAAGAAGTAATTGGTGGCATTGTGCAGTTTCTTTTCCATGCTTACTGCCATGATGACAAGTATGTTGCCACCTATTGTCATGATTATTATGACAACGATTGAAATTGCTGGCCAGTTTTGTACCCCGTCTGGAAATTTAAAGCGTCCACCATTGGAGGAATTAAAAATGTCAGTTACCACAGCTGTTACTGGACTCACTGAAATATCAAATTGCCAAACCATCAGGCCAATTAGGTGCACACTGAAAATTAAGAAGAAAAAGAAAAAAATCAATCAGATACATACACTACTGCTTCTGTACAATATATTGCTTATATAAAACAGTTGTCTCTACTTAATCAACCATGATCATCATCATCATTCTTATCTTGATCACTATTTTTTCTCTCCTAATTAAACTTCAATATTTCTCTATACTTATTATTATGAATTAGGTATGTACTTTGTTGAAATATATGCATAATCTCTTTTACTTTTATATAACACCACATGACCTCAGTGTTGATTTATGTCCATTACACAGATTGAGGAGACTCAAGTTCAAACAGGTTAAATAACTTTCCCAAGCCCATAGGTGGCAGGGCCAGGGTCCACACTAAAGTCTCATTGATTTCGAGGGCTATGTTCCAAACTTGTACAGCAACACAAACCACCGTATTGTTCAACTTGTTGTGCTAGTTTATTCTTCATACTTTCTAAAATATTAATTTCGTTGAAATACCCTTTGAGACAGCTGACAAGAGAATAAAGATGATTTTCTTAAATGATCCAGTAGCCTGACAAGAAAATTAGAAGTTGCCTTCTTTTGATCCAAAGCTAAGAAAAAATAACTTGCCATTTAGTCAACTTCAGGAATGTGTTTGAAAGAGGCACAGTGGGTTCTGACAATAGTACTTATTCATTTCTTTTTAGAACTCTTCCTACCTTCTCACATTTGCAAAGTGACTTCATGCTGGTTAACAACTTCATTTTCTTTCTGGTGCTGGGAGGCAGCCCAGAGCCTTGCATGTGGTAAGCAAGTGCACTCAGCAACCTGTGTTCCAAGGCCCAATTTGCTGTCTTGGACAGTAAAATTTCCGTCTGTCAGTTTCCTCATTTGTACCCCTTGTTTTCTGGGACCTGCTCTAGGCTAGGTAATGATTTGTGGTGATGATTGACATCCGTGGGTGTGTTACATTTCATGAACTAGGAACTAAATCTCTTAAGTCAATTAAAATGTACTTATTGGTACTTAGGCAGATTTTTCTAGTAGAACTTTCAGGCTAGGTGGCAGTCTAATGGAAAAGAAATAGACACGGCTGACTTTGTGCATTCCAATTTCCCCTGATAGCGATAGGAGATTTGTTCAAGTTACATACATAAGTGTTCTTTCAAAGGATAAGCTCCTAAACTGTCTAATAATACAAACATACTTATTTTCATTAATGAAATAGCTAAGACAACTTGATTTCAAACTTAAACAAAAAAAAATTGAGGATTGGTAAATACTAACTCATGTATTTAAAAATTTGCAAAAAAACCCCATTTTTTTCCAAAATGATACCTATCTTAGTAGAACTGGGCTCAGATAATTACTTAATTGTATATTTTAATTTACTATATTTTAGTTTAATTTAGCTTAGTGTTAAGGATTGAACCCAGGACCTTGTCCCTGCTAAGCACACAATCTAACAATCCATCCTTTCAGAAATTCTAAGGTATTTCCCAGGGTCTTTTGTGGCCTCATTGCTAAAAGATTTGTCTTGCTGCAGTTTAAAAAAATTCTCATGTAAATTAGCTGATGATCATCATATGTGCTCCCACAAGAGTTAGTGCTCAAATAATAAGCCGTATTTTTAATTATCAATTGCAGACATACAAATATGTTTATCCTTAAGGCCAGATAATAAGATTCTAGGAAAATATGTAGGCTAATGTCACACTTTTTATGTACATTATGAAAACATCTAAATTTTTTCATATGTCTTTAAAAGTTGTAGAGGAATTCAGGATAAAATTATGCATAATAAAACATACATGAAAATTTATGTCTAATTATAAACTTTATAATTTAATTACCTGGGGATTTTATGGTACAAAACCACTTCAAACAGTTATCTATCTCTAACTCACCAGAAATACATACATATATATATCACATTATATATTATATTAATTGATATAAATCACACTGATTGATGTTCATATTTATATATCAATTGATATATATATATATATATCATATTAAAGAGCCCGTAAAATAAATACTGAATTGCTGAGGAGTCTCCTGGAATCCAAATATATCTTTGTGAACTGCAGAATAAAGTCATGGTGCTGGGATAGATTTTAAAAGAATATTTCAGTTTCCTGACTTTAATTAAATTCAGTTTAATTAGGTCTTATGGAGCATCACTTATTGTCAAGGTTTTTACAATTTTTGTTGCACATCAATCTTATGCCCACAGTTTTGTAATCAAGAATTGACTGTGTGTAATTAAACCTAACATTTAATACTCAGGTGCTCACTGAAAAATATAAAATCCTTTTACAAATACATAGTCATCAAGGTCTTGCTCTTGAACTTTCCTCATATTATCTGTTATTAAGGCCACAAGAACCTCATGAAATATATACGTGAAAATCATAATTTCTCTCTGGACAATACAAACAATTTACTCACTGCTGCTAAATTTTAATGAAAGTATAATTTTATATTCTGAGTATATAAAATGATAATTTAAATAAAAACCTGAGTCAATTTATATCTACTGAGCTTTTGCTTGACATATGAAAAAGCATTTATAGAAAAGACAAATAGCCCTTGTTTCTCTTGTAGAATGGAAAAAAGCTGTATATGAATTCCTTACTTTCATAGTAAAATACGTTGATACCTTTAGGGCAGCCCTATATCATATTACAGAAGATCCAATGTTTGCACACTATAGTAGGCTGTAAGCAATGTCCTGAGTAAGCTCCTTTTCAGGACTCGCAGAGGTTATATGCAGGAGCAAGGAGGTTCAGGTCTTCTCAGCTGTACTGATCAGTGTTCACACAGCTTTGGATCTCTTTTCCCATGCCCCTTTGCTCCAAGAGTAGACTTAGATTAAATCAAATTTAGAATCCCTTAGTTATTCAATCTGATTCTTTACTTAACCCTTTTCTGCTGCGTTCTACTGACTTCAACTAGTAGATCATCATATCAAAACTTCTCAGGATGGTATTGTTTTCCACTGTCTACGTACATCAACCAACACTTACACCTAACTTTTGGTCTTTTCTTTTACAACCTCTATTATTTTTCGTAAAGTCAGAGGCTTATTGAGGCATCTTATTAACTTGCCAACTCAGGCCACATTAAAAAAAGGAAGAAACCTTTCTCCTTCTTAAGTTCTACTCATTCAGAAAACTATGAGAATTGGGATTATTTTAAATCAGGGTATTATCATCATAGTATTTGTTTGAGTACATAACCTGCAGTGTTTACTTCAAATCCAAATTATTTTTCCACATTTATTATTTTGAAATAGGAAACATCTATAATATTAATCTTTTTGGATGCAAGTCATTTATGTAGATTGAGGCAAATATACCTGACTAGTCATATAGAAGCAATTTGAACATGCTTAAACATGCTACCATGAAAATTATCTTTTCATTAAAATAATAAGTAATATCATCCTTACAGGAACGAGTGCACCGCATTCCTTAGGTTCACCATGACTGCTTCAGTCTTAAGTATCCAATGTTTAAAATTGAGAAGAGAAAATTAACAGATTGAATTTATCGTATCTTCCAATCTGGGGAGAGAAAAAAAAAAGGAAAAGAAAATTAGTTAAAAGTGCAAATAACTTGCATAATGACCAATTTATTGAACTTAAATGCACCTATTTAGTGATAAGAAATAGGCAGTTTAGCACACAGGTAAACATGTTATATTGTGGCAGTGATAAAGAGTAGCAAAGAGAACAAAGTTTTCATTTATTTATCAATGTGTTGCCATACATAATTTCTCTAAAATTGCTTGCACAAATTTTATTTATATGGGATTGTACTCAATAGCTCCCTGTTGCCATACACATCCCTTCAAATCAATGTTTTTAAAAAAGGAATTAAGAACTTGTCCTTCTTAATTTGCAAACCAAATCTAACAATTATCATGTCTAAAATAAAGGTTTCACTTTATAGTAACATGGAAAACTGAAACAAGTTTAATAAAATGAACATATTTTGCATGTTTTTAGTTTTGCTTTTCTTCAAAATAATCTGCATGTACATAGAAATCTCTGTATCTTTGCCTTGACCAACAATATTCTCCAGAGACCAGCAACAGCAGGTTTATACCAAAATAAGAACATTGATGAAGTTTACTCTATTAAATACAGCAACCACTCCATATAGTAACAGCCAATAGACAGTATGTTATAGTCAGAGCATATGGAGTAATATTGAAAACTGGCAACAAAAAACCAGTAGTATAGGACCACTGAAACAAAAGTCTTCAGTTTCTCTTGTGGACTAAGAGGTGACAATACATCCTCTAAGGTACTACCATAAGAAGTAAATTTGAATAACTTTTTAAAGAATTTCAGACTAAATGCATTTTATTTCTACAGGCTATTTGCAGAGTTATTTGTTGTGTCACAAAACCCAATGTAATATTTATGTGGTGGATTATTCTTCACTCGGTACTCAGTATCTTCAATATGGTAATGCTCAAGAGTAGACTGGATCAAATTTGTTGAGAATTTCTCTTTCTCTCACTGTGGAAATACATCTGCATGGAGTGAAATATGTCATTATCGATCTTTACATTGACATTGAAGAACTATTCAGTGTGGATTCTATTAACTAATCTAAGAATCCTTTGGTCTTTCTGCTTAGAGATCCTACTGGGAATAGTGTTTAGGCTTCCCTATTCTCTGTTTTGCCTTTCTATATTTTCTCTTTCACTTTTTGATTACATTCTTTTCCCACACTAAACATCTAAGCGTATTTGCTTCTGGGGTTATAAAACTATTCCAAGAATCATGTTTGTGATGCTCTGAAGTTTGCTCGCACTGGGCTATAGGTGAGAAGAACCTGAAAGATGATCAAAATGTGATGTGCAAATGTACCAGTTTCCTAGGATGAATGTAATTATATGTACACAAATATATGCTAAAAAATAGAAAATGAAAAGAAGAATTTGGGGATATCTGTGTGTGCATGTGCGTGTGTGTGTGTGTGTGTGTGTGAGAGAGAGAGAGAGAGAGAGAGAGAGAGAGAGAGAGAGTTGCATAGCTTGAGAGTATGGCACAATATTGAAAGGTAATCCATTTTGTCTAGTTTGTAAATATCTTCAAGGAATATGATAATGAAAATCTGTCTTGATAATTTTTCTTTGGCATTTTTTAGTTCCTTTAGAAATTTCAAAGTAAAATTTCACAAGAACAAACTATATCTATCTTTCCTGTCTCATTTAATAACACTATGCATCTAGTCACCGAAACTATAGATTCATTATTTCCTCTTTTTATTCTCAACTCTCACTATTCAATTATACTAGTACTATGTACAAAAATGTATATCTTAAAATCATCCCTTTATCATGATACTACATAAATATGGCCTCCCAGGAATTAAAATATTTTATGGAAGAGAGTGATATCAGCAGTCGGGTGTGGTGGTTCACACCTGTAATCCCAGCACTTGGGAGGCTGAGGCAGGAGGATCACTGTGAATTTGAGGCCTGCCAGGGCTACAAGGTGAGCTCAAGGCCAGTCTGAATTGCATAGTGAAACCCTGTCTCAAAAAGGAAAAACAAAACAAAAGAAAACAAACAAACAAACAAAAAGGGTGATATCAGCAAACTGTTAGGTCCCAAGAGCCTGGCAGACAACACCTAAGTCCCTTTTCCTGAGAGGTCTGGAAGTAAAGGACAGGAAAAAATATTAAAGAGACCAATAAATATCAGTATCCTTTATGTTTTTTTCTTCTTAGCCCTCAATAAATTTCAAAATGTTTCCTTTTTCCTATGCTAAAAGAAGCCATAACATGACTTTCGATATTTATCAAGTATCCAAAGAATAACACAATTTAAAAGATTTAAAGAAAGTATAAAATGAACTGTACTTCAGTAAATTGTAATGTAAAAATTGGAATTGTATTTGCCATAGCAAGACACAGTGATCACTTTTTTATGTGACTGTCGTGTTAAACATTCTATTATCCACATTCTCATCCATGGTAGAATCTCATTATTATACCTCAAAATATTATATTCTCTTCACAATTCACTGGGTCAAGTTTCTGTATGTCTATTTTCCTGAGAGATATAGACAGAAAGGTTAAAGAGCAAATGTTCATTTTCTAAGTTCTCATATCACTGAGAACAATAATCATAAAAATCTGTGATATACAGAGGTCTCCAATTTATTAATTAAAATAATCTGAGGGAAAAATTGTGTCTTCTGGGGCTTGTTAAATTTACATTCTTTTATTTATTTTTAAATTGTTTTAGTGGCAGTGAGGATCAAAGCCAGGGCTTCACACACGGTAGGTTAGTGTTCTACCGCCCAGCTACAAGTATAGTTAAAAATTTGTATTCCATTTTTTATTTATTTGTCTCAGTATTTACTGAAGTTTGAGCTCAGGGTCTTCACACTGAGGGACATCTACAAGTCCTTTATGGTATTTTTAAATTTTGAGACAAGGTCTGATAAGTCTCCTGAATTGGTCTCAAACTTGTGAACTTCCTGCCTCCCTCAGTCTCCTAGAATGCTGGAATTAGGGTTTTGTGCCAGAATACCTGGCAAAGTTTGTATTCTTGCAGTTTAGGAATATAATAGGAATCAACCATATAAATTATGTAGCAAATTAAGCTTCATAATATGATTCTTCAAATGGCTGGATGAGTACGGCAATATTTTGCAATAAGAAAGGTTTTGTGGCTGAGTGTGATGGAGCATATGTGTAATCCTAATATGCTGGAAGTGTGAGGTAGGAGAATGGCGAGCTGGAGCTCATGCTGAATGACTCAGGGGCTTAGCGAGATACTGTCATAAAATAAAATATGAAAGAGATGAGAATGCAGCTCAGGCAAAGGTCCTCAATTCAATCCTCTGAACCCACCCCCAAAAACACCCAGAAATGTTTTGTAGTTCTACAAAAACAAAAGGGATGCAACAATCTCTTAAACCCTGGATAAGATCATTTACTAACAGGAAACAAAACCCTAAAATTCTGATCTGCACACCTCTCCAACTGCACTAATCTTTCATAACAGAGTTATCAGAGTTGTGCAAACACAAAAATAATACCTGTGATTTTAAGTATTTAAATTTGGGAAAATTTATTTTATAAAACTAAAAGAAAATCAACTGTGTTATGAGAATTTATAGGACTTTTGTATCAATTATATTTGAATGTGTAACAATCTAAGTATTTATATATACCCATGTTGACATATGTGTGTATGTATATATGGTTTTAAGTGCAGAAAAAGACTGAATAACCTAAAACCAATTAGGTATCTCAAATAGTAAGATAAAATCAGAAACAAGTTTAGAATTAATAAGTAGACAGCTTGTCTCTTATTTCTTCTACAGCATAAATCACAAATATCTTTATGCTATTTCTAGAGAACTATAAGATATATATTAGTTTCCATATAGTTTTCAATAGTATAATTTTACACAAAATATTATAGGTCTGGGGATGTAGCTCAGTGGCACAGCACTTTCCTAGCAAGCATGAGGCCCTGAGTTCAATTCCTGATACCAAAATAAAAATTATACAGTAACTTCTATGATATGAAAATTCAAGCACAAACCCATACCTGAGTATTATATGAAAATGATGCTTGTGGAATCTATGCATTTGACATACGTCATTAACATAGATCAACAAAAGCAGTGCGAACACTTGAAAACAATTGAACCAAAACAGTATCTTCCCTGGATATTCAAAATTATACTTCAAACAATCAAAATCAATTTTACTTACAAAAATACTTAAAAGCCACAGTTAATATTCATTTTAGAAATCAAAATAAAAAAAAGTAAAAACATTGCAAAGCATAAAAGCTACTAGCAACATGGCCTTAAGGGTTTTGTATTAAACACAAATTTTTGGTAGAGGAGGCCTTTATATGTGCTTTCCATTCCTTACTCGTTAGCCAAGTTTTGAATACAAAGTAACTGGCTAATTAAAGGGACCGGAACTGGAGAAACTTGAAGAGAATAAAGGTATAAAGTCAAAAGATCCTATCTAAGGATAAAAGAACTGTAGTTTTCTCAAATTATATTTGGAAATATTAGAAGTCACAACTTTATTGAAAGCTGTGGGTTATTTCTTGCATCCTCTAAAGCTAGCCATTTCTGATTCATCTTTACCTTTACCTTTTCCACACTTTGACACCAAAGAAAGATTGGTTATCTTTCAATCAAATTTTCTGCTCTCAAAATATTTTTTATTCTTTCTTCCCCAGGCCAGGTCCAATATACTATTAATGAATCTAAAGATAAAATGCCAGCAATTCTACTGTTATTTGAACAAAAATTAGGGAATATGGATGAAATCATGAAAATACATATAGTTTACAGTAGATTTCTGACAATTCCATAATTATCATGGTGATGTAGTAGGTGATTTCTTCTCATACAGAAGAGACCACATCTGTCAGTGCATGTTTATAAAAATTAGAATATGGAATCAATAAGTGATTCTGGTCTGATTTTCATATTAAAGCATTTAATAATTGAATATGTGATATTACACATACAGATTTGACTTTTGTCAATTTTATTGTTCAGAAATT